CCTGGCACTTACACAGAAGTTTTAACTTTAAGGTGTGGGACCTTCAACAGGTCCCACACCTCTCTGTGGGAGACTCCCAGAGCAGGCAGCCAGCAGCCCTCCACTCCTGGACAGGGCAAGCATCCTGTCCCTAGTGCCTTGATGAAGCCACCACTGCCCATCCATCTCTTTTCCAAGTTGTTCGCTTTTAAAATTCTGGGATCAGCTGGGCATTTGAGGCTACCAGTGCCCTGCAGGAGGTGGTCAGCACATGACAATTTCTGGGGGTCCCTGAGGCAGAGCTCTCGTGGTTGCTGTGTTCACCTCTGCCAGTGTTGGGGGTCCACTACATCTCTCCTCACACATCTTGCTCCATTGCCGATGATCCCTCTTGCTTGTTCAGTTATGATGGGACTAGCCTTCACTGCCCCACTCAGCCTGTAGGCCTGATAGGCCTTCCTTCCCCCTGAAGCAGCCCCCAACTCCAGTCACAACCAGGCCTGCTGGAGTCAGTGCTCTCTTGTCCCCCACAACACACCTCCATCTACTACTGCCCAGCTTCACCCACACATAAGTGCATACCTGAAACTGTTCTTGCCACAGTCGTTTTGGGTGGTGACCCCTCACTGCCCAATCCAGAGGATATATCTCAGCCCTCCTGGCAGCCCTGATGGGACTGACCACTGCCCCCTCATGAGAGTCCCTGCCCCCTGGCAAGCCCTCTCTGGTAAGTCCTCCTGCCTTCTTATCTGCCCTTCCTCTCCTGCCAGCTGAGGGTGGAGGTTGGCGCCCCCTTGCCTCAGCCCTCTGCTCCTCAGCTGTCTTCCCTGGAGGGCTCACGCAGCAGGCCTCACCCACGTCCCAGCGTCCCACACGAACCATGGTGTCCCTCAAGTGTCTCTAATTCAGTGTATTCAAAATGGCCCTTGTCATCTTCTCCCGACCTCCTCCTCCCCACATTCATGACAGTTCCTCATCCAACTGCCACTCAGGCCAGAGGCCTGAATACTGTCTAGCCATCTCCAGACACTGAGCACTCCTCAGCACTATCCTTTTCCACAGCTCGACACTCTCTGTTCCCCCTGCCTACAGCCCCCTTCCCACCTTTTCTCCCTGCAAAAACTTGCCATCCTCTAAGACCTGGCTCTGAGGACACATCTGCAGTAATCTCATCTGCCTCAGGCCGTGGAAATAGGTGCTGGGAGGCTGAGAAGACCTGGCTGAGCCCATGCAGGGCAGGGCCATGACATGTCACAGTTGCTAGTCCAGGCCCAGCCTGAGAAGGGGCAGGGACATCAGGTACTTGGCTGCCAAGTAGGCTGCTCTATACCATCCACTCCCTGTGCTGCAGGTTCTTTCTGATGTGTTACCTGTTTGTGAACCTGGCCTGTGCTGTGCAGACTCTCCTGAGGACCCCCAACTGGCGGCCCCGGTTCAAGTACTATCACTGGTGAGTGCCAGTTGGACCCCTGAGCCAAGTCCTCTGACACAAGAGCTTTTGGGGAAGCCAGGAGCCCCATTTTGGATGGGGTTTGAGTTGCCTGGGCAGCACTTGCTATTGGTGAGAGGTTGGGGGTTGGGGGGCTTTGCCTGGGGCCCTACTGGTCTTGCCCTGATTCTGGCCCTTCCCCACTCTCTGGCCCAGGGCGCTGTCCTTCCTGGGCATGAGCCTCTGCCTGGCCCTTATGTTTGTCTCCTCCTGGTACTATGCCCTGGTCGCCATGCTCATCGCAGGCATGATCTACAAGTACATTGAGTACCAAGGGTGAGTGAGGGGCTGCTGCCTGGTCGGGGCAGGTGCGGTGATCTCTATGTTGGGTTGGGGGGAGCTGAGCCATCCTTCACTAGCCACCGTGAGTGCCATCTCACATATACATGGACAGAATCCCCTGGGTGGGACCAGGGGCTCACCAGCTTGTGGTGGCCTCTGCAGGGCTGAGAAGGAGTGGGGTGACGGGATCCGAGGCCTATCCCTGAGCGCCGCCCGCTATGCACTGTTGCGGCTAGAGGAGGGGCCTCCACACACGAAGAACTGGCGGTGAGTTCACACCTAGACTAGCAAGGCCACTCCAGGTTCTCAGGGGGCGCTGTGAGAGTGGGAGGGTCAAGAGGTGCTGGCTCCTCCTTCCCAGCCCACGTTCCTCACCCTGGGGTTGCCAGGGGCACCCTCCTGCTTGTTGAGCCTTTGATCCCTGCTACCCAAACCTGCGGGGGCCTGTGAGCAGAGAAGGGAGAAGAAGAGGGGCTCCCTGGAGACCTCTGGCCCTGGTCTCAGGCTGCCTCCCCATCCGGCCACCGCAGGCCTCAGCTGCTGGTGCTCCTGAAGCTAGACGAGGACCTTCACGTGAAGTACCCACGGCTCCTCACCTTTGCCTCCCAGCTTAAGGCTGGCAAGGGCCTGACCATCGTCGGTTCTGTCATCCAAGGCAGCTTCTTGGAGAGCTATGGCGAGGCCCAGGCAGCTGAGCAGGTGCCTGCTGCAGGGGCAGGGAGCTGAGCCGGACTAGAGGTGTCTGGGCTGCAGCTGGCACGTAGGGGAGGGGACCAATCCTGGCCAGCCAGGTGGGTAGCACTGCTGCCACCTGAGAGCTGGAGCAAGGGAGGGGGGATGGCTGTCCCATCTTGAAAACATGGCCTCTGGGTGGACAGCTTGTTCCCATTGCCCCCACTACTCTCAAGTAGTTCTGTGCCCTAGGGGCCTTGGCAGGGAGCCCAGCAGAGGGGACGCTGATGGCCTTGCCTTCTGACCCTGGTGTGTTCCCTCCCTACAGACAATCAAGAACATGATGGACATTGAGAAAGTGAAGGGCTTCTGCCAGGTGGTAGTAGCCAGCAAAGTGCGTGAGGGACTGGCCCACCTTATCCAGTCTTGCGGCCTGGGTGGCATGAGGCATAACTCCGTGGTGCTGGGCTGGCCCTATGGCTGGCGACAGAGTGAGGACCCACGTGCCTGGAAGACCTTTATTGGTGTGTGAGGGTCAAGGCCTGGACTTAGCCACGTGGCACATGGGTCTGGGGTCATGTGAGGACAGAGGCCAGAGGGCCACGGGCTGGCAGTCAGGAGTGCCCTTCCTCCCCAGACACCGTGCGCTGCACCACGGCTGCCCATCTGGCCCTGCTCGTGCCCAAGAACATCGCCTTCTACCCCAGCAACCATGAGCGCTACCTGGAAGGCCACATCGACGTGTGGTGGATTGTACATGACGGTGGCATGCTCATGCTTTTGCCCTTCCTGCTGCGCCAGCACAAGGTAGGCCAGGCAGGTGGGCCTGGGTGGGAGGGGCTGGTCCCTTGGAGAGGTAGGGTGCGACTGAACCACCCACCTCCATTGCCACAGGTTTGGAGGAAGTGCCGGATGCGCATCTTCACGGTGGCCCAGATGGACGACAACAGCATCCAGATGAAGAAAGATCTAGCCGTCTTCCTATACCACCTACGCCTTGAGGCAGAGGTGGAGGTGGTGGAGATGGTGAGCCACCCACCCTGATGTGGCCCTGTGGATGCCCTCCTCCACACAGCCCAGTCCTCATGGCCCACCCTCTCCCCAGCATAACAGTGACATCTCTGCATATACCTACGAGCGCACACTGATGATGGAGCAGCGGTCACAGATGCTGCGGCAGATGCGGCTGACCAAGACTGAGCGGGAACGAGAAGTCAGTGGCCTTCTTGGTTCAGGGCAGGGGCAGGTGGCAGGGTCAGGCTGCAGGGTCAGGCTTTTGGAGACGCCATCAGTGGGGGTGTCAGAATGACTCACCCCAGCCCCAACCAAGTCAGTGCCATTTCCCTGAGGTGGGGTGATCATGTTGGGCCAGCCAGGCCCCCTCTTTTCCCATGGCACTGAGGCCTCTGATTATCCTCAGGCCCAGCTGGTCAAGGACCGGCACTCAGCCCTTCGGCTAGAGAGCCTGTACTCGGACGAGGAGGACGAGTCTGCAGCTGGGGCTGACAAGATCCAGATGACATGGACACGAGATAAGTACATGGCAGCAGAGCCCTGGAACCCCAGCCACGCCCCTGACAACTTCCGGGAGCTGGTGCATATTAAGCCGTGAGTGCAGCAAAAACAGACCCAGCCACATCACGGTCTAGGGGTGGAGGTGAGATGGGGGCGGACAAGCTCTGTGGGTGCCAGGGGTGGGGCCCATGATCAGCTTCATTATCTGCAGGGACCAATCCAATGTGCGGCGCATGCACACCGCCGTGAAGCTCAATGAAGTCATTGTCACACGCTCCCATGACGCCCGCCTGGTCCTACTGAACATGCCTGGCCCACCTAAGAACAGCGAGGGTGATGAGAATTGTATCCCTTTGTGGAGAGGCAGGCAGTGGGGAGGTGGACAGCATGTGAGGTTGGGCCAGGAGCTCCTCTCCCTGGGTGCCCTGGGGGGTGCCAGGTTACCCCAGCTCTGATTGATGGGCCAAACTCCCCTGGGTGCCCCTGGGTGCCCCTGGGTCCTGGTGCTGCCTCCTTGACCTGATGCCCTACAGACATGGAGTTCCTGGAGGTGCTGACCGAGGGCCTTGAGCGGGTCCTGTTGGTGCGTGGCGGTGGCCGTGAAGTCATCACCATCTACTCCTGAGCCCAGTACAACCTTGTGGCCTAGAGTGGAGGTGTCCAGGGTAAAGGCCCCCTTCTGGCACCCACTCGTCAGCCCTGCTTTGCCCGGCCCTGCCCTGGACCCAACTTTGCTAGGTCTCCTTGGAGACTGCGACTGGGCCAGACAATGGAGATGGATCCAAGGTCCTGCAGGACCCTAAGAGGTTTGGGGACTTTCCCATCCAGCACTCCAGGAGGCCTGCCCTGGCTGGATAAGACTGGTGGGGGCTGATGTGGGGTTTGAAGGCAGCCGGTGCAGGAGTGCTATTTATTGCATATTTATTGTTCAGATGTTACCATCAGAGAGGAGGGGAAGGGTGACAAGGGAAGGGGTCTGGCCCAGCCCACTTGCAGGAAGACCTGGCTTAGGCTACTGTGGGCAGGGACCCCCACCAAGCCCAGCCAAAGGGAGCCAGCCAGCTGAGGCCTGACTTTTTTCAATAAAACATTGTGCACTTCTGGGCCTCCTGCTGCCCCGTCTCTATTTCTCCTGGCACCAAGTGAAGAAGGCGGAACTGAACCCCGACCCAGAGCCAGCTCCCTGAGGCTGTGCCCCTTTCCGGCAATCTCTGGCCACCCCCATTGGCCAGGCTGCCCCTCCCACGAGCCCTGGGGCCCCTCCCACCCTCACTCCAGATGAAGCCAGCCCAGGACTGCTTCATTGGGCAGTAGGCACTAGGGCTGGAATGGGGCCGCCCGGCTCCCCATGGCAGTGGGTGCTGCTGCTGTTGGGGCTGCTGCTCCCTCCTGCCACCCCCTTCTGGCTCCTCAATGTGCTCTTTCCCCCGCACACTACGCCCAAGGCTGAGCTCAGTAACCACACACGGCCCGTCATCCTCGGTAAGCCCCCGCTAGGCCCCTGATGCACCAGGCCAGACCTTGGGGAGCCTGGGCCCCAGTCCCTGATAGCAGACCCTGCCAAGGCCTTTCTGCCCCTGCATTAGCCCTGATACCTGCCTCAGTGGTTGGAGGGGCCAAAGGTTTGTGCTGCAGAGAAATCAACCCTTTCCCCCACCACACTTCCTGTGTCTCTGAGTTGTCTACCCCAGGCGGGTGGAGTGGGGGCTGGGCGTGCCTGAGGGCTTGGCCAGGACATTACAAGCTGTGGTGAGCTACAGCCACTGGACCTTGGGCCAAGCCCACCACTCCTTTCTCAGCCCCAACCCCAGCAAGGACAGGATGACCAGCCCAGGAGAGCAAGGGAGGCCTATCAAGGCCTGCCCCCTACTCCTAGGCCCAGCTCCCATTCCCCCATACCTATTTGTTCTCACCTTGGACTTTGGCAGTAATGGAGAACCATGCTAGGTGTTTGCTTTGTGGGGGCAGGGGTCAGTGGCCTTGGCCCCTGCACCCTTCCTGCCTGAGGGGAGCCTGGGCTTTGGGCTGCTGGGGGGATGGGGTGGGGGTATGATCAGAAAGAGAGGATCGTATCTTTAGTCCCTGGGGATTAAGGGTGTGGAAGATGAAGGGGCAAGGCTGGTCAGTACAGTGGGGGATGAGACTGGGGTGGAAATCTGAGGAATCCAGAGTGAAGGCTAGTGCCTGCAGTGCCTGGCTGCCTGGGGAATCAGCTGGAAGCCAAGCTGGATAAACCTGATGTGGTGAACTGGATGTGCTACCGCAAGACAGAGGACTTCTTCACCATCTGGCTGGATCTCAATATGTTCCTACCCCTTGGGGTAGACTGCTGGATCGATAACACCAGGTAAGTGCCATCCCCTCTGCCCCAGCCCCTACACCCTGCCCCCTGGCTGCTGGCCTGCTGACTGTCCCACTGCCCCCAGGGTTGTCTACAACCGCAGCTCTGGGCGTGTGTCCAACGCCCCCGGTGTACAGATCCGTGTCCCTGGCTTTGGCAAGACCTACTCTGTTGAGTACCTGGACGACAACAAGCTGGCAGGTGTGTGTATTGGGGAAAAGAGTGGGACTCTAGGCTGTAGTGGGCCCACAGGAGCCGTGGTCAGAGCCCCCAATGCTGTTGCCTCCCCCACAGGTTACATGCACACACTGGTGCAGAATCTGGTCAACAATGGGTATGCGCGGGACGAGACAGTGCGGGCCGCCCCCTACGACTGGCGGCTGGAACCCAGTGAGTATCTCTGCGGATGATGAACTCGGGGTGGGGCAGGTGGCCCCTAACTCCAGCTGCCCTGATCCCCCTCCACCCACCCCACCCGCAGGCCAGCAAGAGGAGTACTTTGGGAAGCTCGCTGGGCTGGTGGAGGAGATGCATGCTACTTACGGAAAGCCTGTCTTCCTCATTGGGCACAGCCTTGGCTGCCTGCACTTGCTCTATTTCTTGCTGCGCCAGCCCCAGTCCTGGAAGGACCGCTTCATCGATGGCTTCATCTCTCTTGGGGCTCCCTGGGGTGGCTCCATCAAGCCCATGCTGGTCTTGGCCTCAGGTGAGAGAGTATCGGTTCACCTGCGTCCTGTGGGAGGTTGGGGAGTGGAATGAAGCTGACTATGGACCTGCCTTCACTCCCACTTCTGCTCATAATGCCGGGCTGGGGTTGTTGTCTACCACCCCTGGGGCATGGCCCCCACCCTTAGCCCCCCCACCCCGAGAGCAGTGAGCCTGGCCTGGACCATTAGAACAGCTCCTGCCAGACTCTGTCTTAGTGGTGACAAAGGGGAAGAAAGAGGAAGTGAACCCCAGCCATCTGACTCATTGCCCTAGGTCTGTTCCTTGTGGCCTCCCAGCTTTCAGCTGCCTTCTCCCAGGAGCCCCTTTGCCCAGGGATCTGCCCTACTGAGGACAGATCTTCCAAAGCCAGGGCCAGACCCTAGAAGCCCCTCTTGCCCTTCCCTGAGGAGTGGCACAGCCACCACCTGTTGAGCCCCCACTGTATGCTGGGCATAGCCAGACTTGGCCTTCCCCCTAGGAGCTCACGGTCTGGTGAGGGAAACACTCCTTAGACTACATCAATAAATGTCAAACACAGCCACGGTCTCATTTCATCCTTCTCAGAACACAGCTCTGACTCCTGTGCAGCACAGGCCATAGGGGCTGACAGACACTTGCCTGAGGGAGAACTGCCAGCACCATCCCCCCACCATTCACACATACACAGTCATCCCTAGGAAACCCCTCCTTACCCTCTTTTTGAGGCCCTACAGCTCTGCCTCACAGAAGTGCCATCAGAGCTTCTCATTTAATAAGCACACATTAAACACCTACTGAATGCCAGGCCTACTTTAGTATGTGGCTTGGAATCAGTGTTTGGATTGAGCATCCAGCTGAGCTTGGGCTAGGGGGCAAGTGTGGGCAGGGGGTAGCCAGGCCTGGTTCCCTGCCCCACCTTGCTCCATGTCCACAGGTGACAACCAGGGCATCCCTATCATGTCCAGCATCAAGCTGAAAGAGGAGCACCGCATGACAACAACCTCTCCCTGGATGTTTCCCTCCAGCCGGGCATGGCCTGAGGACCATGTGTTCATTTCCACGCCCAGCTTCAACTACACAGGCCGTGACTTCCAGCGCTTCTTTACAGACTTGCACTTTGAGGAAGGCTGGTACATGTGGCTACAGTCACGTGACCTGCTGGCAGGACTCCCAGCACCTGGTGTGGAAGTATACTGTCTGTATGGTGTGGGCCTCCCAACGCCACGCACCTACATCTTTGACCACGGCTTCCCCTACACAGACCCCGTGGGTGTGCTCTATGAGGACGGTGATGACACTGTGGCCACGCGCAGCACTGAGCTTTGTGCCCGCTGGCAGGGCCGCCAGCCACAGCCTGTGCACCTGCTGCCTCTGCACGGGATACAGCACCTCAATATGGTCTTCAGCAACCAGACACTAGAGCACATTAATGCCATCCTGCTGGGTAACTACCGACATAGCACCCCTGCATCCCCAGCTGCCAGCCCAGGGCCCCTGCCCCCTGAATAAAGACCTTCTTTTGCTGCTGTAAGCTCTGACATGTGTGTTGTGGGTTGAGGGGGAGGCACTATGGTCCACACACCAGGGTTTGTTCATCAGCAGCCGCAGGCCTAGTGCTTTGTGGAACATAGGGCAAGATGGGCTTTGCTAAAGCCTGGGATTGAACTGAGCACCCTGTGATATACAGCTTCCCACTCCCCTGGTTGAGCTGTTTGGGCAGCCTGCCTTGTGCCTGCCTCTGCTCTGGGCGTGGGGACTGGAGGCAGCTGTGCACACAGCTGTGGGATGGGGGCACATGGAGCCAAGCGTGCAGGGCAGGGAACATCTGAGCTGTGCCTCTCAGCTTCCAAAAGGGCAGGTGAGACGCCCCCCCCCACACACTCTAGACAGGGCCTTTTGAGTGAGTGCTAGGTGGGTGACAGAAGCACAAGAGTTTAGAATCTGGGGGAGTGACAGCCACTAATCAGATCATTTCACTAATGAAGGTTTAATTATTAACAGAGCTAACTGGTCTGAGAGAAAAGTTTAAGGAGCAACAAGGGGCTGAGTCTTGTGGATCAGGGAAGGCTTCTCAGAGGAGGTGGTACCTATGCTGAGATCAGATGGGATGAGAAGGGTAACACGGGCCACCATAAAGACTTGGGTTTGAGCCTGAGAGTAATGTGCAGCTGCTGAAGGGTTTAATCAGGGAAAGAGTGTGACCAGGTTTTCAATCTAGAAAAAGCCCCCTCTCTGCAGGGTAGAGTGTAGCCTGGGGTGGGAGGTGGGGGGCAGGAAGTGGGAAGCTGGGGAGGCTAATGCAGTGTCTAAGGGAGAGGGGATGCTAGCTGAGACTAAAGCAGTAGTTAGGAGAAAGATGTGGATAGATAATGGGTCATTTGGGAGGTGAAATAAAGCTTGGCCATGCGTAGAGCCCAGCATGCCTCCAGGCTACTAGAGGGACAGCCACTTCTGTCCCTCTGGAGAGCAGGAAGACAGCACACCAAGAGAGGGAAGATGGATCAGCGTCACCATGGCCAAGGATTGAGCCTCCGTGTTTGAGGTTTTGGGGAAGAGACAAAGGCAACAAAAGAGAGGCAGGAGTTGGGAGAAGGAGAGTGACAAAAGACAAAAGGTAGCCATACCCGATGCTTTTGGGAGGCCAGTACCAATAACGACAGAGACCTGGCCACTGTGACAGCCTTAGGGCATTGAGACTTGAGGTTAGCGTTCCAGTCAGGGTAGGCAGAGCTAAGGGCTCAGATTGGAAGGGGGAGGAGGAGTGGAACAATGGCCAGAAGGAACGGATTTGTCCCTCTGTTCAGAGGACAGGGAAGCAGCAATGGAGAGCCAGGCAAGGGACATCTCCCGCTTCCCAAGCTGCCTAGGACCCAAGGTGAAGGTGAAAGTGAAAGAGAATATGCAGAGAAGGGCCGGTGTGCTCTGAGAGAGGGTGAAAGCGAAAGCGGGAAGCGTCAGACGTGGAACCCAACAGAGGCCAAGACCGTGGCCCTTCTCGCTCCACGCTGGTGCCACTCGTCCGACCATCGACCCCAACCCCCGGACCGCCCTGCCCACCGCAAGATGCTGAAGCCAGCGCTAGAGCCCCGAAGGGGCTTCTCCTTCGAGAACTGCCAGAGGTGAGGGGGGTGAAATGGTTGGTCCCGAGCTGCCCGTGAAGGCTTCCGGGAGTGGAAGCCCCAGGGCCTTTATTCCTGGTGGAGGAGAGGGTAGCGTGTGTTTGGCAACTTGGGTTCCCAGGCTTACCCCGGGAGGTGAGGGAGACGGAGACGGAGTTAGCGGATGTGATGGCGAACCCAGAAGAACCGTAACCTGGGCCACTCCCTTCCGTTTTCAGAAACGCATCCTTGGAACGCGTCCTGCCGCGGCTCCGGGTCCCTCATGCACGCAAAACCGGGACCACCATCGCGGGCCTTGTGTTCCAAGTGAGCAGGGGGTTGGGACAGGAGGGCTTACAGGGGAGGCTGGGGGGATCCGGCGGGCACTGAGCCAGCGGCCCCTCCCCATCCACAGGACGGGGTCATCCTGGGCGCGGATACGCGGGCCACTAACGATTCGGTCGTGGCGGACAAGAACTGCGAGAAAATCCACTTCATCGCTCCCAAAATCTAGTGAGAATTCCCCAGCCGGGTTCCCCGCCGCAAGAACCTCCCCCTCGTTCCCATCCCCGGCCCCCGCACATCCTAGCCCCGCCCACACCAACCCTCCCTTCCCTTTCAGCTGCTGTGGGGCTGGAGTGGCCGCGGACGCCGAGATGACCACGCGGATGGCGGCGTCCAACATGGAGTTACACGCGCTGTCCACGGGCCGCGAGCCCCGTGTGACCACGGTCACTCGCCTTTTGCGCCAGACCCTCTTCCGGTGCTGGGGCGGGATGCTGTCCCAGGGGAGAGGCTGTTGCGGGGAGGGCGGGGCTGCGAGGTCCCGGGAGACCGGAAGAGGCCGGCCTAAGAGGAGCTGGGCAACAGGAAGGAGCGGTGTCAGTCGGGGGCGCCAGACCACAGGAAGGGGTGTGGCTCTGATCCAGGGGCGTTGTCGCGGGGGGCGGGACCGGGAGCCCAGTGCCTGCTGCTGACCACGCCCATTCCGCCGAAAGGTACCAGGGCCACGTGGGCGCGTCGCTGATCGTGGGAGGCGTAGACTTGACAGGACCGCAGCTCTATGGCGTGCACCCCCACGGCTCCTACAGCCGTCTGCCCTTCACGGCCCTCGGTGAGCGTTTTCGCCCCTTCCCCACGAACCCCGCCCCTGTGACTCTGGCCTCACGTTTGTCCCGCGACGGGGCAGCCGCGGCTGACCTCAGATGCCTCTCTTGCCTGCAGGCTCCGGCCAGGACGCGGCCCTGGCGGTTCTGGAGGACCGGTTCCAACCGAACATGACGGTGAGCGACATCTACCCCCTCTACGCGTTCGTTGGTGGGAAGTGCACCTGGGAGCTGGGGGAAGGCAGCGGTACCCTGGCCTAGTCTGGAGGTCGGGGGAGGCGTCTCGGAGGAGGTGACTACTGAGTGGAGACTGAGGGGTCGGTGGAGTGAGGGTGGAGAAGTGCTATTCCAACAGACCACGTCAGTGCCACAGCTTGGACTGCCGGGAGAAGTCAAAGCTCGGAGAGGACCCTTTGGGGCTGAGGAGGGAACGGAAGATGGGGTCTGGGGTCTGGATTTTGTTTGGGGTGGGATGGAAGCGAATGACGTATGTTGCTTCAGAGGTACCTAAGGCCCAGAAGGAAAAATGCAGTGAGCCAGTAGATCGGGGACCAAGACTACATTGGGTGGGTGGACAGGCCACTGGAAGCAGAGCCATAAGTGTGACTCAGAGAAGTTTGTGAAGATGGGGCTGTGGGAACATGAGGTCTCTGGAGAGATGGAGGCAGACACCAGGGGAGGGGAGCTTGGGGTTGAGATGGGGGTGTAGGGGGACAGAGGAGTTTAGGTGTGAGCAAATGGTAAAGAGTCTGGGCTTCAAGATTAACAAAGTCTCCAGGCTGAAGCTTGAGGGTGATACCAGAGGGGTCCATCAGGTCTCACACACACATCATCATCACAGCTGGAGGCCGCGCAGGAGCTGCTGGTGGAAGCCATCACTGCAGGAATCCTGGGTGACCTGGGCTCTGGGGGCAGTGTGGATGCATGTGTGATCACAAGGACCGGTGCCAAGCTGCTGCGAACACTGAGCTCGCCCACAAAGCCCATAGAGAGGTGGGAACAGAGGAGATGGAGGACCACAGGGGAGGATGGGGTGGTAGCAGGGGAGATAGAAGGCTACAAGAAGAGGATAGACTACATGATGGGCCCATGTTGAGAGGCCATCCCTCCTCCCTCCCAGGCCCAGCCAGTACCGCTTTGCCCCTGGGACCACAGCTGTCCTGTCCCAGACAGTGACGCCGCTGACCCTGGAGCTGCTGGAGGAAACTGTGCAGGCCATGGAGGTGGAGTGAAGTAGGCTGAGGCTCAGAACTTGGAACAAGGGGAAATAAACCCAGAAAATAAAACACCTAAACAGATGGCTGTGTCATTCTTGGGTGGAGGGGGGTGAGCAGCCAGCAGCACTCTGTGGCTAAGGTATCCCGGCAGGGGCCACTCCCTCCCATGGCTCCAGTGCCTGGCCTATGAGGTGCCCTTCACCCCTCACCTTAGGCATCTACCCCTCCAGAACCCTAGCTCTGACAAGCATTGCAGGCTCAAGGTGGAAAGCCCCCTGCTGACTCTCCACACTGTAGAGGCTCCCCCTACCACTCCCATGCCTTGCTCTTGCCCTCTAATCCACTGGGGGCTGTTGTAAAATCCAAAAAGGCTCATTAGTGGCCCAGGACAAAGCCCACACCTCTCAGTCAAGCCCCCCATGCACCCCATTGAGGGCTAAAGTGCTGATAAGCTGCTCCTTGATTCCAAGGGCAAGTTGTCACAGAGCACTCCGCACCCCTGCAACACCTTTACCTGTGACTCTCCTCCAATGACCAGGCACACCCGAGGTGCCAACACGAAGCTAAGCTTCTATTTGCACATGCTGGGCTGTGAATAGGGGGATTGACTCCAAGTTTTCTGGGCTGACAGGGGTCACAGGGCGCATGTGGGGAGAGATGACATGACACATTTATCCAGCAAACCTTTGCTGAGCACCAACTGAGTGCGAGGCCCAGGTGCTAGGTGCTGGCAGGAGCGTCCTGCTCTCGGAGATAGTGGCTGAGCTCCAATGGAGCTTTGGAACTGTGAGAGTCTGCCCAGCCTCTGGGGAGGGTCTACTCCAGGCTGGACATACCTGGGCCCCTGACTGTGCTTCTTTCCCTAATATTTTATTATGAAGATTTTTAAACATAAAAGTTGAAAGAACTGTACATTGTACACCCATATACCCACCACAGACTTTACAGTTAGTATTTTGTTATATTTGCTTTATCACATATCTATCCCTCCATGCCTCCATTCAACCATTAACTCATCTTATTTTTTTTTGACTGATGTGTTCTTCAATCAATTGAAGCTCTCACACTCCTAGAAGGAGGCCAGCCAACTTACCCATTGCAACTTTGCACACAGGAGTGTCTTCTCTCCCTTGGCTCAAGCTCAGCCTGGAGCTCTACAACAAACGGGCTGTAGACACCCGGGGCTTGCCCATGGGAGCCCCACAGCCTGGAGGCTGTCAGAGATTTTATGGCTGTCACCCTTCCAACCTTCTTGGTTTTTTTTTTTTATTTCTTCAAGTCTTTACTTTGAGACATGATGGAAAAATCTTACAGGTGCATATGGAAAAGTTAGACATGATCACAGTGACCTGTGTCCAGGGTTAGCCAGTCACCAAAGGCTCACACATTGCCCTCCTATGCGCCAGGCCCTTCCCAGATATCATCTCATCATTAAGAGTGTGGGCTTTGGGGGCTGCCCCGGTGGTGCAGCAGTTAAGTGTGCACGCTCCGCTTTGGCGGCCCAGGGTTTACAGGTTCGGATCCTGGGTGTGCACCGACACACCGCTCACCAAGCCATGCTGTGGTGGCGTCCCATATAAAGTGGAGGAAGATGGGCACAGATGTTAGCCCAGGGCCAATCTTCCTCGGCAAATAGAGGAGGATTGGCATCAGATGTTAGCTCAGGGCTGATCTTCCTCACACACACACAAAAAAATAAGAGTGTGGGCTTTGGGTCTGGCCTGGTGGTGTAGTGATTAAGTTTGCATGCTCTGCTTTGGCGGCCTGGGGTTCACAGGTTCGGATCCCGGGCATGGACCTATGCACTGCTCATCAAGCCATGCTGTGGCAGCATCCCATATACAAAATAGAGGAAGATGGGCACGATATTAGCTCAGGGCTAATTTTCCTCAGCAAAGAGGAAGATTGGCAAGAGATGTTAGCTCCAGGCCGATCTTCCTCACACAAAAAAAATGGGCTCTGGAGCCAGAAAAATGAAGGTTTGGGCTCAAATGCACCACCTGCTGGTGGGAGAGTCACCATCTCTAAGCAAACTGTCTCCTGTTCCAAGTTGATGAGGAATCAGTGAGATGGTATCTGTTAGGATTCACAACCTGCCAGAACCCCTGTCCTGGCCACATGGCCCTGGCCCTCCACAGCAGAGTTGGCACAGCTGGACATTCTCTTCACCAGTCAGTCATACCCCTGGGTGCTGAGCAGGCTTCTCTGAGTCTGGTACCCCTGATAGCCCTGGAAGACTTCCATGATCCCAGCCACCAGGTGGTCACTATAGACCTAATTTAACCTAAGCCCTTGGTACCCAGTGCTCAACACTTGGGATGTGAGGTAGTTCAGGGAGCCAGAGGCTAGGCTTTGGAGGGCGGAAGGAGTAAGAGCCTCACACCTGGGCTCTGTCTCATAAGTCCAGGCAGGCCTGGGTTGAGAACCTTGGTCTAAAGAGACCCTTCTGATTAGAGCATGGGGTGGGGCTGAGCCCACACAGCTGGCCTGCCTCAGGCCCAGGACTTTGGCTCAAGGACAAGGAAACCCATAAAGCCAGGCCCAATTTTCTGGACCTCACACCTGCCACAATGCTGCTGCTCAGCCTGACCCTTAGCTTGGTCCTCCTCGGCTCCTCCTGGGGGCAGTGGGCCTGGACCCGCTCTGACTCAACAGCCCTGGGGCCACCTGGCTCCCAGCACCAGCCCAGGGGCTCAGAGAAGGGGCCAGGCTGGCTGGAAGGGAAGCAGATGAACAAGAGTGGGCAAAGGAAAAAGGATGTGCCAGGGCTGGGAGCAGGGAGGAGGAGGGCTGGGAGTAGGGAAGAGGAGGCCAGGGGCTGGCCTCACAAATGAGACAGGAGCTCGGGCCAGGCTCAGGAGCTGGGGAGGGTTTAGGAAGCTGAGAAGTGAATGTTGGACATGTAGTTTAGGAAGAGCCCTCTGGCTGCATGAAGGGTACAGACAGCTGAGGATGGAAGGGGCAGAGAGGCCAGGGAGGACACTATCACAGGGGTCAGGGAGAAAAGTGGCCTGGACTGGAGGGTGGAGGTGGAGTTGGGGAATAGGTTGGAGAGAGACTCGGAGAATGGACAGAACTTGGGAGCTGGCTGGATGGGGGTAACCAAGATAGCTTGGAGGCCCAGCAGCTCAGGGTGAGAAGGGGCAGTGATGAGCTCTCTCGATTTGGACCCTTCTTGGGGGCAAAGCCTGGGAGGACCCAGGAGGAGGTGGGGAGAGGTGGGCTGGGGTGTGGGAAGCAGGTCCTCACCAGCCCAATGGCCAGGCTGTGGCGTTCCTGCCATCAAACTGGCGCTGAGCTTCAGCCAGAGGATTGTCAATGGGGAGAATGCAGTGGTGGGCTCCTGGCCCTGGAGGTGTCCCGGCAGGTACATGTACCCTGGGGGTGGGGCAGAGTCCCAGGTGCTTCATGCCTAAAACATAGCCTGAGCCCACCCCTGCTTCTGACTACTGACCCCAGGACAGCAGCGGCTTCCACTTCTGTGGTGGTTCCCTCATCAGCCAGTACTGGGTGGTCACTGCTGCCCACTGCAATGTCATGTGAGTGCTTCCACTCTACCTGCCCACCTCTCCTCACTTCCTTCCCATGGATGCCCTTCTCTTGTTGCTCTGCCCTCCCTGCGGCTGCCCAACCCCACTCTCGCTGCAGCCCTGGCCGCCACTTTGTTGTCTTTGGAGAGTATGACCAATCATCCAGCGCTGAGGCTCTGCAGGTTCTGTCCCTCTTGTGGGTGAGTGCCTGGGCTGCAGACATGGGGGGAAAGAGTGGGCTGTGCAGGTGGGTGGCCTCTGGGGATGAGGAATTCAGGGCATACCCTAGCCTAGACCTCTCAGGACCCATCAACCCTGGGGGCCTGTGACCACCTCATCCTATATGGCCCCTTTCTGGCTCCACAGGCCATCACACACCCTTCCTGGAACCCCAGTACTATGAACAATGACCTGATGCTACTGAAGCTCACTTCCCCAGCCCAGTACACAGCATGCATCTCACCAGTTTGCCTGGCTTCTCCAGATAAGGTGCTGTCTGCAGGCCTCACATGTCACCACTGGCTGGGGCCACCTCAGCGGCATGGGTAGGAACTTGGGCCAAAGATCCGGGTGGGAGGGCTAGGGTGGGAACAAGTCATCCGAGGTCTAACCACCCACTCCTGGTCCACAGCCAATGTGACCCTGGCGTGCCTGCAGCAGATGGCTCGCCCCTGGTCACTGTGAGTCCGTGCCAGCAGTATTGGGGCTCAAGTATCACTGATTCCATGATCTGTGCAGGTGCTTCAGGGGCCTTCTCATGCCAGGTGAGCATCAGTACTCTGTCCTGTCCTCTGCACTGTCCTGTGGCACCCCACCCCCACCCCCTACGCTAACTTCTCCCCTCCTTCCCTCAGGGTGACTCCAGAGGCCCTCTTGTCTGCCAGAAGGGGAACATGTGGGTGCTCATTGGCATCGTCTCCTGGGGCACCAGCAACTGCAATGTGCATGGCGCCTGCCGTATACACTCGGGTTAGCAAGTTCAGCACCTGGATCAACCAGGTCATAGCCTACAAGTGAGCCCACCACAGGCCCCTCCCCATCTCAATCCAATAAAGACCCCAGGCTCTGGCCTCTTGTGTATTCTCGTCTGTCCTCCTGGCTCAGGGGAAAGGAGAGGCTCTTGGGGGTCCCACTCTCCACTTGGACTTTGTCTTCTGGCACAGCAAGTGTTGAGGAGTCAGGATCTCCCTAAAGTAGCCATGCCCAGGCTGGGCCCCCCATCCCTCCTCCTCCCAGGCAACCCCTTGGTCCACAGCAAGAAGCCTGGGCTCTTGAAATGAATGGGCAGCCTTCCCTGGGGAGGGCAGCCTGTTTATTGAGTACAGAGGATACATTTACAAACTGAGTACACAAAATAAATAACTGCACATTCTCCCTCCATTGTCCATGGCATAAAGGCCCAAGTGGGCCTGTCAAAGGTCCAAGTCTCCAAACTCCCTCTGTCCTACCCTCAGGACCAGTATCCTGGGCAAGAGAGGAAATAAATCGCCAGGGCTTCAGGCCCCCAGAGGCACCTGGGGAAGTGGGGGAATTCTGAGGCCATGGGGCTTGGGCTCTCCACTGCCTTGTGCCAGGGGGCACTGGGTACGGAAGGAGGGGGTATATAAGGCACAGTTGACTTGGCCTAGAGTGGTCTCTTTGGCTTGTTTTCTCGCTGGAGGTGGCACATGCAGAAAGAGGAGGTCCTGGCCCAAGGCTACCCACTGGGAGGAAGTGAGTGAGGGCCAAACCTTCCGTGCTGGCAGGGGCCCTGCAGTCTAGCTAAGGCTAAAGCTGGGCCCTGGCTCCCCACCTACTGAAAGCAGCTGTGGAGGGAGGGGGCTGGGTTCCAGCCTGGTTTATGATGAGGGGAGGCACAATGACCAACATGGGGATGGTGTGGCTCAGGCCTGTGGGAAAGCAGCCACCCAATTCCATCTACCTCCCACCGGAGCTCCCTCCAGCCTGAGATTCAGCAGGGCCCAGACTGGAAGGGTAATGCCGTGAAAGGAAGCAGGGACAGGCTGGACGGGGCAAGGCCAGCTGTGAGAAGGCCAGTGCTCCAGGCACTCAGGGTTCAGAGGCAAGTCACACAGTATGGCTAAGTTCCAGGGGAAGCTGTGCAGAAGCTCAGCAGAAGGGGAGAGTTGAGCAGCCCAGGGACCCTCCCTCAATGCAGCAGCTCCTTCCTTCCCACTTCCTCTTGGAGGATGAAGGGTGAGCATGATGGTCATTCCTAGGCTGCCCATACTCATGCCAGACACTAGATGGCTCCTTCATGCAGCTGCAGAGAAGGGAACAGCAGAGCCTGAAGGGAAGTGGCAATGGGCAGTACCAGGGGTGGAACCAGGCTGACACTGGAATCCTGATGGGGCCCTCCCTGGGAAGCCCCTGCCCTCTGCCTTGGCCCAGGTGCCCCCACCCCCAGGTAGCAGCAGTGGGGCTCTCTTTAATCCCCCACAGTTGGGAAGGAGGCACCTGGGGAATAGAATGGGCATCCACGATGGTGGGCTCTGCAAAGAAGGCACTGAGAGTACTGGGCTGGTGGGGAGAAACTCTCTCATAGTCAGAGGCTGGAGCCTGGAGCAAGCCTGCTACCACCATGGCCACACAGTCCAGAAGGGCCAAGGACCATGCCATGGCCCTACCACCAGAGGTCCTGGCAAGTCCTGGGGCCAGGAGGGGTCCCTGGGGGCACCACGAAGGAAGACAGATCTTGGCTGGGAGATTGGGAGCTGTTTAGACTTAGCCAAGGGCTGCGAGTCCAGCCAAGGCACAAGTTTTGTGCCTACCTGAGCCTCTCACTGGAGCATAAACATGAGGATCAGGATGCCATGGAATGTGGACGGCCAGGGAGGAAAGCTCAGTGGAGGAAAGGGGAGTTCCAGAAGTAACTGTGCTGGAACTACAGGACACCCTCTACCCGGCACTACATGCCCCTTTGGTCTGGGGAAGAGCCAAGAGCTGAGGGAGACTGAGGCCAGGTCCTGCTCTTTCTCCAACTTGGTACCAGAGCAGTTGCCCACCAAAAGGAGCATCAGTGCCAGGCCAGGCTCCCAGTTCAGGGGGCTCACAGCTCCCTGGCCTCCCTCCACTCTGTCACACAAGGCTCAGGCTCAGGGTGAGGATAGGGGCTGCTGAAGGCACAGAGGAGGGGCTGGGGCCATTCACCTACCACTGGCCATAAACAGGCCTATCTCCACAGCCAGGCAGCTCAGCCATTGTACTGCTGCTGGTAGCGCAAGTTGAGTTCCCGCAGCTCCCGCTCCCGCACACGGCGTGACTTGTTGGAGCGTGTAGAGCGGCTGGAACGCGTGGACTGGGCAGATTTGGTGCTCTGGCAGCGTGAGGAGGCACGTTTGAGGAGATTCTGGGAGATAGAGCGGTGCAGATTCTTCATGGATGAAGAGGCTGCCATGCTCACCACCCACGGGTGCCTCAGGGCCTGCAGTGCAGTCATACGGGCGCCAGGGTCCACTGTCAGCAGGCGATCAATGAAGTCCTTGGCCAGGTTGGACACGCTGGGCCAGGGCTAGAGGCCAAGAACAAGCATTAGAGTTAGAGCACTCACCACTGCCCTCCCCATCCCAACAATGCCACCACTGAGCACTCAGACGTGTCCAGCGTCCCTGCACTCTCCCCCTAGAGAGAGAGGTACTGCCCGGCTCTTCCTATGTAGAGCATTCTGGGCCTCCGCTTCCCACCCAACGCTGGCCCAAGCCGCCAAGCAGAGGCTGCTCTCTGGGTGACAAGGAGTCTGACAAGGAGAAGGACCTGCCCCCCTCCCCAAGGAGAAAATTTCTAAGGTGGTCTGGACTCAAAGCCTGGCTCAGGGAGGTGGCCCCTGTCAAGGACCACTATAATTCAGGGGGATTTAAAGAGAATGACCCAGGGGCCGGCCCCGTGGCGTAGCGGTTAAGTGCGTGCACTCCGCTGCCAGCGGCTTGGGTTCGGATCCCGGGCGCGCACCGATGCACTGCTTGTCAGGCCATGCTGTGGCGGCATCCCATATAAAGTGGAGGAAGATGGGCATGGATGTTAGCCCAGGGCCAATGTTCCTCAGCAAAAAAAAAAAGGGGGATGGATTGGCATGGATGTTAGCTCAGGGCTGATCTTCCTCACACACAAAAAATAAATAAATAAAGAGAATGACCCAAACCTTCCACCATATCCTGAGCCAGACTTAAGCTCCAATCCTTGGATGCCCATATCAGGCCACTTAGAGGGGGAACTTCCTAGTCCTTAAGGAGAGAGTCCACCCTCCCTCCAACTGACAAAGTGGTGGTGGGTGACCACTGCATTCCCTGCTGGAAGGCTCAGCCTCCCAGCCATGGGGAGAAAAGGAAACAATTCAAGGCAACTAGGTTCTCCACCCACTGAGAGGGCATGGGGCTCCTGGGGGCCAGGCAGGGACAGGACCCTTCTCAGGGGCATTCTCCAGTCTGCATGACCTCTCAAAGCCACATAGGGGCTCCTGGGAGTGCTCTGTGCCCAGCTCATTTGAGTACATTCTGTCCTCAGGGAGGAACTGCACAAAGCCTCTGCTATATGCACCCATGACTGTCTCATCACAGCCACAACCCAGCAGCTGTCCGTCTCGAGGCCTCAGCCTGCACAGCTTGTCTTCACCTGGCTGAATCCTTAGGTTCTCAGGGTAAAGGACACTTGCTCAGACTCCCTCTTAGCCCCCAGTGCTAAGCAATTATTCCAGCAATTTCAAGTTGATCGTTCCCATTAGACCATGCTGAGCTGAATGGGCCCCAGTGCCTGGTGCTAGGCATCCAGGAGGCACTTAGCAGATACAGGCTCAGTGAGTAAACAATCTGTGGATGGCACCTGATGGGTACCCTCTCCTGGAGCTGCTTCCAGGACGTACGGCTCAGGCAGGTAAGGCCCAGATGTCCTGGGCCCTTGAGCACATCTGCTGGAAGAGGGCAGGCACAGCACTGCTCTGAGTCCCTGCATCTCCTGGGAGGACTATGGCATGGGCTCTGATGCTCCCCAAAGGGTTGGCGGCTAGGACCTTTGCTGAGACTGCTGCAGATGGCTTGGCTGGGATGCCAAGGGCACCATCACCCTCCTTCCTGCCAGCTGAGGTCTGCCTGTTCCACCCCATGGTGCCCTTTACCTTGGGGAACTGCTGAACACACTCTCCAGGGGGCTCAGGAAAATCTGAGAGCCCACATTTGGGGCAGCTACATGCCCATTCAGCAGACACTTACACACTGACTACCACTACCCCCAGTCTGGCTTCCTTGACGTACAACTCTTCCCCTATGCCCTTCCCCACTGATGTACTGGTATGCGTGTTGGGGAGTAGGGGTGGGGAAGAACACACATCTGGAGTCCTGAAGAAGGGGTGGGGCTACTTGTAGTTGCTATCCTTACCTGCCCTTTGGAAGGCAAATCTCAACTTTTACTGAGGTGAACTGGAAGAAAGTGAGACAGAGACCACATTTCCAAACAGCCATGTAACAGGGTCCTCCTCACCAACGGCCCACCTCCCAGTGCTTCCTGGGGAAATACTGGCCCTCAGGAGGAGGGCAGTAAGGGCCTCAGGAACATTCAGCCCAGGGAGGGCCATAAATACCTTGCTATCTGAAGAGCAGTGAGGGAGTGCAGGGAGCAACAGCTCACCTACACAGACAACCTGGTCCACATTTCCCTGCAGGCCTGTGTGGCTCAGGGCTCTAGTACTGAAGCCAACATGCAGGGTGACTGGACTAGACAGTTGCCACAGTAGCTTTTGGCTCACAGTTCAAGAAAGCCCCATGGCTTGCTGCTGCCACCAGAAAACAAGGAGCCACTGCGAGTGGCCAGTCAACCTAGACCACAGACTCTCACTGCAGCCCCCATCACTCATTTAAGAGATGGAAAGAAGTGTGTATAATGGGGCCACTGATGGACACAGCAAATCTAGAGCTGAACAGGCTGGGTCATGGGAATATCTGTGCTGCCCTGCCAGCTTTTATGGTCTCCAAGAAAAGGAGAAATCACTGGGGAACACACTGCAGCCCGGCCTGGCCTGTTGGTGGGACAGCCCCAAGACAGAGCTGGCAGCCCAGGCTAGCCAAACATGGCTGGGACACAGA